TATTTATTTCAACACAATACAGTATTTATAGCATCAAAACTGACCATTTAGAAAAATTTGGAGCAAGGTACCATCACTAGTGAATCATGGCCGTCACAAGCTGCTAAGATCCACACGTGGAACTCAAACATCCCAAAGGAGGCAAATAAAACAACACATCTGTAATTAAACACCAATGCAATCTTTTAAAGAATAAATATTAAACATTTCCATTTTATATGATACATATAAACAGTTTCTTTATTATTGAAAAGGCTTTATTAAAACTTTCACCCAAAAAATAAAAATAAACCTTCCAAAGCGATGCAGACTTTACAACAACAGGCTGTTAAAAACCAAACATGACCTCACGCTTTACATAAGTCACAGTAGCAGTACTGCAGGCTGGATTCTCCACAGAAAAAAACAACTTTTATTCCTGCACTCACTCAAAAAACAAACTCCTCTGTAAGCGGATGTGGACTCTGACAGACACGCTGAACGATCTTTATACGACAGAAGGCCAGAATCGTCTCCAGTCAGCTCGTCTCGCTGGAACTTTCCAGTAAAACAGCTTTAAATGCTTCTCTATTGTTGGAAACACCTCTGCAGTGTGTGAGAGGCGAACCCTTTACGGCACGGAAAACATCAGATTTGCATAAAACTTTTATGGATGTTCGTGTTAAAAAAAAAACAACCTTCCGGTCAGACGACACCAGCCTGCAGGAGTAAGAGGCACCGTTTGAACAAGGCAAGCTCGTCAGGTATTAGCATAAACGTTTTACACGGGAGCTGCGTCGAATGAGAAAACAGAAAAAAAGGCTAAAACTGAGCTAAATGTTTTTCAGTAAGCGAATAAAAAATGATTTCACACCTTGGAAAGAGACACACGATGGCTTAAATAGGAACGTTCTGCATAGAAGGTGAGGCTGCTTCCCTAGAAATCATCATGCCGAGTCATTTGGATCTAAGTAAAGAAAAAATAACGTGAACTTTTTAGGATATTTTCCACATTTAGTGCTGGGATGGATCCTGTCTATTGGGATCTGGTGGCTTGGTTCCTCAGTAGACCACCAGCGCTCTTCTTCCTTCTCTACCACTGATAAAACCTTGTGTCACAAACTTTCATTCGGAGAGGATTCCATGTTTTCCTGGTTTAAAAGTCGGCATCACCTCCCTGTTAGTTCACAGGAGTGTTTTAAAGACACATCTGGGTTTTGTGTCTTCTGGCTTTGAATCAACACCTCAACTAAGGCCCTGTCCACACGTAGCCGGGGATCTGCCAAAAGGTAGATATTTTCCTACGTTTTGGCCTGTCATCCACACGAAAACGGAGTTTTTTTCACACAAAAACGGATCTTTTAAAAAACTCCGGCCAAAGTGAAGATCTGCGTTTTCTCCATTTTGGGTGTCTGCGTGTGGACAAACAAAACCGGAGTTTTAAGGTCCGCAACGTCACTTTCCGCGACAAAAAAATGCTGACATCACGTGTGCGACCTGTGTTTACACTAGCCGACAGCATGGATGCCCTCAGAGCTGCGCTCGCTTTATCAATTGTCCAAGCGCTTTCTGCTTGTTTGTTTTTGCAAGCGGAATTACTGCTCCTTGCGGAAGACCACAGACGAAGGACGAGGTTAAGCACGGGGGAAGTACTGCCGCCTACAGGTCTGGCATGTCCTTAACAACATATTTATCCGGGTACATGTGGACAGAGTTTTTTTTTTTTAAACGAGGTGGTGTGGATGCAAGTTTTTGGAGGGGTGCATATTCGTTTTTAAACAAACCCAGCTACGTGTGGACTAGGCCTAAAATAAGTTTTTTTTAGCTGCTCTAAGATCCGACTAATACTGAAGATCAATCTCAAACATCTGTAATAAAATCAGAACTGATTGAACTCACAGGAGCTTAGAGAGACACCTTCGTTGAATCCTCTTCTGAGTCGTTTTAGGTGATGAGGATTCATCAGCAGTTTTTGTTGGGTTACAGATCAGAAATTCCCTTGATTCCAACTTTGTGTGATACGGGGAACACGAGCAACTTTTATGGCACAGGATGCAAGGAGATGTTTGCACCTTGATCTTGTCAATCAGAGGAAGCAGTTGTTTTACCTTCGTCATGAAAGTCACCGTTAGGGTTAGGGAAACCAGGACAACTCTTAGGCCTAGTCCACACGTAGCCGGGGTTTTTTGAAAACGAAAATCCGCCCCTCCAAAAACTTGCATCCACACCACCGCGTTTTAAAAACAAACTGTCCACACGTACCCGGATAAATGTTTATGTTTATGTGCTTAGCAGACGCTTTTTCCCAAAGCAACGTACAATTTTTTTTAACCTATAGGGCATGTTGTGATCTGTGGGGGAAACCGGAGTACCCGGAGGAAACCCACGCATGCATGGGGAGAACACGCAACTCCACGCAGAAAGGCCGCAGCCGAGTTTCGAACCTGCGACCTTCGTGTTGCGAGGCAACAGTGCTAACCACTGCGCCACCATAAATACGTTTTTAAGGACATGCCAGACCTGTAGGCGGCAGTACTTCCCCCGTTCTTAACCTCGTCCTTCGTCTGTGGTCTTCCGCAAGGAGCAGTAATTCCGCTTGCAAAAACAAACAAGCAGAAAGCGCTTGGACTATTGATGGATCGGGTAGTGACAGAGCGCAGCTCTGAGGGCTTCCATGCTGTCGGCTAGTGTAAACACAGGTCGCACACGTGATGTCAGCATCTTTTTGTCGCGGAAAGTGACGTTGCGGACCTTAAAACTCCGGTTTTGTCTGTCCACACGCAGACACCCAAAACGGAGAAAACGCAGATCTTCACTTTGGCCGGAGTTTTTAAAAATATCCGTTTTCGTGTGAAAAAACTCCGTTTTCGTGTGGATGACAGGCCAAAACGTAGAAAAATATCTACGTTTTGGCAGATCCCCGGCTACGTGTGGACAGGGCCTTAGAAAAACAAGCTAGGAACACCTTTTTTTCTGCAGTCAAACACTGTTCAAGTGGTTCCTACAAGACAGGGTTGGGAAAAAGCTAATTTTACACTTCAAGTAAAATTGAAAAATAATTACTAATAGAATTTTTGCATTTAATTTGTGTAAAAGCAAAAATGATGATAATAATGATAATAATTATTATAAATGGGTATGAAAAGTATCTCTTGTGGATACACAGCTCTAAGGGTCAACGCTCGTGTAAACGATTGGTTTGCTGTAGAGGCCAGGGGAGGGGCTTAGGGGAAAGACTACCTTTTTATTTTATATAGAACATGGTCAGATATTCAAATCTAAACATTTTAAGTTACTTTAGAAAATTTTAACTATGCACCCCAGCTTTAAACATTGGTTATTTTCTTGCAGTATAATGTAACTCAGCTGTTCTGTATGAAACTCCTCATGAACGAGGTTATTTGCTTTAAGCCATCACCAGTCACAGTTTAACCAGAACTCTTAAATATGAAACAACTCTTTCTATTTTTTTTGGCTGCACAGTGGTTAGAGCTAATGCCTTGCAGCAAGAAGGTCCTGGGTTCGCTTCCCGGCCTGGGATCTTTCTGCATGGAGTTTGCATGTTCTCCCTGTGCATGCGTGGGTTCTCTCCGGGTGCTCCGGCTTCCTCCCACAGTCCAAAAACATGACTGTTGGGTTGATTGGTCTGTCTAAACTGTCCTTCGGTGTGAGTGTGTGTGTGCATGGTTGTTTGTCCTGTGTGTCTCTGTGTTGCCCTGCGATGGACTGGCTCTCTGTCCAGGGTGTATCCCGCCTGATAGCCAATTGACTGCTGAAGATAGCCCCCCCCGTGACCCTACATGGACAAGCAGGTTCAGAAGATGGATGGATCTTGCTATTTTTGAGCCAAGGACAATGTGATGAAGTGTAGGTGAAAACCTGAATGCTTCCAGACTTCAGGACACAGATTGTCATGCACCAACATGCATGGTTAGCTGGACCGGTGGCTACAACAAACTACAGAAAAAGATTAACCAGGTCCAATCATGTTTGGCTTCAACAATATGCAAACGGCGAGGCTGTTTTATACTAATATCATTATATCATTAAGCAATCCATATAAGGAAAGAGATTTGGTTCCAGTTGAGGAATTATACCAACTTTTCTTCTGTGTGTGTGGTGAAAAACAAATGAAGGGAAATGACTAATCTAAATTGTTGAGCTCATAAAGTACAAGATACGGTAACCGAACTGTAATGTGGAGCTTCTGGGCTGGGCCTGGAATTTAGGTGAAATCAGAATAATTGATGGCAAAAAGACCAAAACCACGCACTTCAAAATGCACCCACTGACAAAGAAGTTAAAAATTTCACAGCTTAGTTAACATTTAGCGCCGGTAGTCATAAAGTTTAAGCTAGTTGTGTTTTAACTCAAGAGAGCGAGATCCTTCCAGATGAACAAGCAGGTTTCAGAATAAGCTGAAGCCCCTCCTTGTACTGGTTTCGTGTGCACAAACAATAAAGGCTTACTGGGAGACTCCAGGTTCCAGTAAGCAGTCCTGACTTATAGAAAACAGATTTCAGCAGTTATGGAATGAAATGCACACCTCAGTGGTTGAATATCTCAGAATATTTCCATAAATGCACAAATCAGCAAGAATGTCTGTACTGAGCCAAGAGGTGAGCACAAATCTGCATCCTTCTTACCCAGACTGCGACAAACAGAACATTTCTCAGCAGGAAGCAGCTCTGTTCCTAATCGTTTCAAACAAAAGCTGCAAAGCAAGGGGTTGGACCTTCACTAATGCGATCATTAGCGAGGAGCTTTAACAACAACACCCAGTCAAGTTTCGGTGGACCTAAACTCAGACAAAAAGCAGGATCATCACGACGAGGTCTGCTGTTCGGTTCACACGCAGATCCGTGAGATGTTTCTGATAAGTGGACTTTTCGGGGCTTTCTGTTTCATCTTTTGTTTGAACAGAGTTTTTGAAGATTAACAGATTTTTTTTTTCAACTGCGCCGCCCGGGCCTTCGCCACTAAATTCATTAAACAGACAGAAAGAGAGTTCCAACACAGAGTTCAACACAAAGTCACTTTATTAAGTTTGGGGGCAGGTGGAGCAACTGACTGAAGGGATTTTTTTAATCAGGATGTGGTTTTTAAAGTGGATGTTGAAGTTGCTGAGGCGACAGAGGAGAGAAGGTAATGGCTGTGCCCAAATTACGATGCCCAGGTTTTTTTGATGAACCAGTGATCCAAGAGAAGCAGCTCCAGTCAAGCCACACATCAAAAGTTAAAACTTTTAATTCAAAAAATGCTGAGAGAAAAAAGAAAAGGAAAAAAAAACATCCCCGAGGGGACATTGAACTACACACCACTTCACCAGTGCAATGCTCAGGTTTGTAACGTCCCCCCAGTCTGCTCTGGTGTTAAGTCACATATTAAAACTTCCTCCAAATGAACCGGACGCTGATTACTTGAACTCGTGTGTGTGTGTGTGGGGGGGTGGGGGGGTGGGGGGTGGGTTCAGCTCTGGCTGCTTTTCCAGATGAGGCACAGATCAGCGGGTTTCTCTGCAGTCTGATGATTCGGCTCGGAGATGGAAAACATTCATGTGCGCTTGTGGCTGATTGTTGAAATCTCTCCTCTCCAGCACGTAGACAAGTCTGTTTAAATCCTCATCACTTAGAAAACATTTTAGGACGAACATGAGAGCAAAATCTGCTTTCTGTGGTTATTTTTTCTTCATTTTGAATTCAACTCAAGAAACATTAAACACAAAGGAGAGAAAATAAAGCGGCATGAATTGAGACAATGCATGAGAAAATACTGCAAAGACATTTTTTACACTGAACATGTTGATTACCCAGAAGGCCGTTTGATGGTAAGTACCGTACAAGCACATCTAGTACTGGGAGGTTCACAACACCGACCTTAGTGTCAGCGTGCGTAAAACACACTCCGTCTTCACACAGACATCTAGATTCTGACTACAAGAGACTGAAGCAGCTTCAAAGGCTTTCCGTTCCGAACCGTGTTGCCTCTTATAAACACAAACACTCATGTCTCGTCTCGGTCACGTCTGAACGGACCATTTGGTTTAGCAGAGGCGTTCCTGTAATAACAGTCTCCTCTTCGCGTGTTAGTTGGTTACACCTGATCGTCAGTGTTCATGCAGTAAAAGGTTTGTCATGAGTCGGGCTGTGGTCGACCTTCCCTACCCAACTTTTGTGAATTCTGAGTCTTCTTTAGTGGAACAAAGAGCAGGAGGTCCCCTGGGGGACTGGACCTTTCCGATTTCCTCAAGAGCACTGGCCAGAGAGTCCAGATCTCCTGGGTCCTGGTGCTGGGCCTCCCACAGACTCAGAATGACCGAGGACGGGCTCTCCTGACATGCAAAGTAGCACAGGTTCCTGAAGGTCAGGGGAGACACAACGAGTTGGTGGCAGATCACACTGTGGTCAGTGCAACAGAAAAGACAACTCAGTCATCAACAGGCGATTGGGATTATTAACAGTGACCATTTAAAAAAGTGAGTGCGTACGTTTATATTGCACCCATTAAAAAAATAATCACAAAGTGAAACACTTCAAAATTAAAACAAAGTTTAAAGACAAAAAACAACAACAAAAGAATAAAGGATCTTTGAAGATCATTAAAAACAAATAAGATCTCACAACAAAAGAAAAAACACACGAAAGGTTTAAGCAAAAGCTATTTGGCTGATTTCTAAAGGTGTCAATGCAACATAACGATAAAGGAAGTTCATTCCTGAGTTCTGGACCAACTGAAGGCAGTCATGGGCTTTTTTGTTAAAACATGTGAAAAGTGTGTTACGGTAATTGGGAGGAGATAAAGGCATGGATGACCATTTCAAGTTCATGTTTTGACACCAACCTTCGCAGTTAGGAGATATCTCTTAAGTGATAAATACAGTTTCGGACCAATGTTTGGGGTGTCCTTAGACAATGATTGGTCAAAAACACCCACATTCCTCAAGTTTGATTTAATGGCAGAAGTTAAATGACGACCAATTAGTTTACTGATCAGAGGAACCATGCTCTCAGGGGCAGTGATCAGACATTCAGTCTTTTCAGAGTTTAACTGAAGGAAGATTTCTTCTAGCCAGCTGGTGATCGCTGATAGACACTCTTCATTCAGACAGTTTGTAGAACTCAGAATCCTTGAAGGAGCAGAACAGCTGAATGTCTTCTGCGTTTAGGTGTCAGGAGACATTATGAAAAGTATTAATGATAAGTCCAAGGAAATGTATGTATAATAAAAACAGGAGTGGGCCTAAAACAGATCCTTGAGGTACCCCACAGAACTGATCAGTAGAATCTATAATGGCAGACACTAAAACTTCTGTTAGAAAGGTCTGACCTGAACCAATTTAAAACAGTTCCAGAGATAGCCACCAAGCTCCATGGTAGACTCTAATGCCCTGCTGTTGATAGTAAAAATGACTCTTTCAGCCACAGAAGTTGCCCCATGCTGAGTCTCCTTCACCGCCTCCATCCATCAGTTTCTTTACACGAGACTCAACCTTCAGGTCGACAACGGTGCCCCAAGGGGTGGCCAAGGGTGGCCATGGCCACCCCTATAAAATTGATGCTCCCCCCCCAGCAAAAGCCAGTGTTAATAAATCATATTAATGTTCATGCAAACCATAAAATGATCTAATTTAATCAAAACATAATTGTAAAACAAAATAAAAATAATACAATCAACGAGTAAAGAAATAATTAGAATAAAAACATACATATGTTTCTGCTGCTCAGCATTTAAAAAAGTTTTTGATCTCCATAGTTTTTTTGTGAACACAGCAACAGGTGAATTAAACAAAAAAACATTTTTTAAATAAAATTTAAAGTAAAATTCTAAATAACTGAAATGTATTTTTCTGAAATGGTTGTGTTTGTACAATTTAAGTTAAATGTTTTGGATATGTACTGTTTTTTTGTTTTGTTTTTATTTTAGTTTATTTTTTTTAACATAAAAATGAATAAAGGAGCAATGCAATACATTGCCACAGACTAAACTCTCCCAGAGTTACCACAGGGACCAATTTGGTGGGCCACCCCCAAAATTTCTTTGGCCCCTTCTGGCCATCCCTATCAAAAATTTTTGGAGGCGCCCCTGCAGGTCGACTCGGTCCCTTTAATCAGATCAAACTATAAACGAACTAAGTTGTCATTCCTGTTAGTGAAACACCAGTTAAAGCTCAAACATAGAAAATCAGACTGACCTTTGTTGATTTTAATGAAGTAGAAATTTGTCTGAATCTTTATAATCCTACAGATGCATTTTTGAAGGCTAAAGCCTGTCTTTACACATACATACATACACATATATATATTTTTTTCTATTAACAGAGTTATTTGTAGCTCCTCCAAACTAAATAAAAGTAAAAATGAATATATGATTATGTGAATGAGCACACTCTTTTCCTCCTACTAACCTATAACTTCAGTGGCACAAAGATGCCTATATTGTTATGGATATTTATCTATTTAATTGCCTGCTGGAACAACAAAGAAATTAATATTCACAAAACGGGGGAGGACAACAAAGTTCATCAGAGTTAGGAACTTTGCTGCTGTTAGCTGATCTGACCAACAGAGGGCACTGTTTCATTGCACTGACACTCCTGTTGCTCTACCTCCTCCTTCACTCTCGCTCCTCCATATGATGATGTTCCTACACTCTCAGAAAAATAATTACAGAAATCAGCTTAAGTAGGTAGAGACATTCCTGTTACATGCTCCTCGGCGTGCTTGACTGGGCTGAAAACGCTCTGAAATCCTTTCCTCGTCTCTCATTCGCTTCTCTTCGATTTAGTTAAGGCAAAAACATTTCTGAATATCACAGAATTTTTCTTTAAGTTCCTGCGGCAGGCGGTAACGGACACCTGTTTTCTCGGTGCTGTTTGCGAGCACAGGTCCTGGAGTCGTTGCGGCTATAAGCACTTGATTATTGACTTCTCTTCTGAAGCACAAACAATGATCGCCCCATCTCCAAACAATGACACCCCCCCCCCCCCCCCCACGCCTACACAAATACTGACCTGGCACAAGCTTCTGAGTGCTTAGCAGGGGTTGGAGGATGGAGCACACGCGTAGCTCCTGCTAATGAGAAGTGCTAACACCAGCACACTTCACCGCCGGAGGCTAGGCTGTCAGCACTCACAAACCTTCCCTCAGATTTCTGCAAGACAAGGCATCTGCTCTGCAGCTACAGTATTCTGATTGTGCTAAAGCTGGCCTCCCCCTCCTCCCCCCTGTCTCCATCTATCTGTGCATGTGTTTTAGATCTATAATGAAATCAGCAGTGTGGAGTGCAACTGAAGGCTGGTTGCAGATGAAAGATAAGGGCCGACACGGTGCCTTAATGCCAGATTGAAAGTGGCGTTCATAATGGGAATGGCGTTTAAATTTACGAGGAGACACGCGTGTGATGGTTTTGCTTTCCAGTCATTGTTCTAATATTTACAGCAAAACACGCCCGCGTGTTCTTTTCAAGATGACTCAGCGGTATGTAAATGGTACCTTAAGGGGCGAGAGTGAACAAAATGTGGTTATAACTCAAACCTGTCTATGTGGAGCTTCTGGGCCAGGAGCTGCCAGTCCTTCCCGTTGGAGTTAGCAGCATCGAAGGTGGCGGTGATCCGCTGACGAATGGACAGGGGGATTTTAAAGGCCCTTGACCCCGTCTGGGAGGTGACGGTACAGTCTGACTGCGTGAAAAAGGGGACCACACCCTTTTCGTTCTGATGGCGAGGCAGAAAGAAACAGAGGTGTGTCAGGGTGTTTGTGATACTGCTGCATGAAGGACAAAAACGCAACAGGACCGTTTGCAATCCATACATGTACAGCTCCACGAGAGGCTCGCCGAGCAAGCTCTTAAAGCAGATGAAGAATCAGTGTAATGAGAGCCCGTCCCCTTTCTCAGAGAGCCACTCACCTCCACTACAGATGTATAGATCTGGAGTATCTGCTCCTCTCCTGCGACCTGTCGGATGCTGATCTTGCAGGAGAGCTGAGACGAGGAGTGGCTGTATCGCTCCAAAGAGAAGGCACACTGCAGGGGACACTGGTTACCGGCCCACACCTGAGAAAAGGAGAACTCCTGCAGAGCGAGGAGAGACGGAAGGGCAGACGGGAGGAAAATCACGATGAAAGGATCAGGCTGCACAGACGGCCAACTCATTAAATCCTGCCAAAGACATTTGAGTTTTTTAAATCCTGCTTTGACACCCACGTTGGTGTTTACATGCTTAATGAGGGGTGAATGAGTGGTCTTGTTGGCCAATCAGTGACGGGAAGGAAACTACACCCGTCTCAGTGGGGAGCAGCAGGAATGGTTCCTGGTAACCATCTGTAGCACTCGTCTTAAACGAGTGTGTTAACATTAGAAAGTGCTGTGGAACATTATGTGGTGTGAAGCAGAACAGAGTGTTTTGTTTTGTATATTTTCTGTAACAACAGTGGGTGGAACAGCTGCCTTCTGCCACCGACCTAAAGAACACAACTCATCACTCTTTAACCCTTTTCAGATTGAGTGCGTTTACATGCAGCCAGTAACCCTTTTAAAACCCAAATATTCACAATAACCCGGTTCCGCACGGCCATGTAAACACCGCCGAAAACCCGGATATGCTCATAACCGGGTTTTTAAAAACCCGGTTACTACACCTGGGGTAACCCTTTTCTAACCCGAATGTTTGGTCGTGTAAACGCATATCGGGATATCCCCATCAAAGTGTGTGTTCTGTGCATGCTCTGTTCGCAAGGAATCTTGGTCTTTTGAGTAGCGAGACGTCTTGTATGCGCCAGAACACCGGAAGTAAACAACAAGTTGGGAGCAAAATGGCGAGTCGCGGCACAGCACCACACTATTGGAGGGACGAGGAAACTAAAGCGCAAACAAACACGGTCGCTATCTCTTCCGAACTGGGAAACGTGCTGTTGTTTTCATGGATACCTGAACAAGAAGAACCGGAAATGACGCATATTACGTCTGGACGTAGTCCATACGTCCTGACGCTACCCCAGCGTCCGCATTTAAATCAGGTTATGCAAGTTAGAGGTAACTCTTTCTATTTATGCTTGTGAACGGGTTATTCTGATCAACTCAGAAACCCGAATACCGACCTTAACCCGATCATAACCCGGATATTGGCTGCATGTAAACGTAGTCATTGACATTCTGGAATATGTGTGGACAATTCAGTCCGGTTTTTAACCAGAACTGTGTTTTCAGACACACCACTTTTGTACCTGAACTTGTCCTTTCGGCTGCCTTCACACAGCAGGGAAAAGTTCCAGATGTCTGAGGGGGAGGGGGTGGGAAGGCTGTACCCGGATAGTGCGGCGGGCGTACATGCGTCATTTACCCAAACAAAGCCATTCAGTCAAACATGGCAGACGAAGAGATAGAATTCTTCTCACTGATCGGACTCATGTTAAGCATAATTCTGCGCACACGAAGACGCATAAGAGACCTGGATGATGAAGCTCAATGGCTAATAAAGGAATCACGGAAGCAGTGTGAAGCGTTCCGTCGCACGTCTAGGAGACGGTACCGTAGGAGGCGAGCTGCCATGGTTCGCCGCATGCTACAGGAGTGAGCTATCTAGGTGCGCACAGCGTCCCCCGGGCCCCTCCTCCTCCCCCTCCGGAACTCGACCTCACCAGTCTGAAGCAGCCACCCTGTCTGTGACAAGTCCGGTCCTGTTACTAGGGGCTTTGTCCGGTTTAATTACGGAAAAGTTTATCCAGATGTTTGTATTCAGACACAAAGGTCTTACGGACAGAGTCTCGAACATTTCCGTTTTTCATGGCCTGTCTGAAGGGGGCTTCAGTCAACTCTACTGTGACTTTTTCTAGTTCTTCTTCACGTCTCATAGCACCATGCAAAGTCTTCCCTTTTTTATAATTTACCTCCAATGGCTCAGGAACTCTTAGAATTTTTTATAGTGGTTTTGATCGATAGTTCTTCAGGTTTCTGAAGGTCAAACAAAGTTTACTTTTGGACTTTTGGTTGCTTTATACTCATTTTCAGTCCCTGATCACCTTTACAGAAATGCACTTTTTATTTATTTGAAATTAGGGAATTAAAAAATAATATTGTATAGCACTTTTCTAAATAAGAGGCTCCAAAGCAATTTAGAAATCATTTACATTTATTCAAACGCTGATGGTGATAAGCTATATTGTAACCACCGCTCCCCTGCGGTACTCTGACTAATCAAAATCAGTTCAATAAGTAAAACTGGGTCAAATGTAAAGTTGTGGTTCACTGAGAGACTGTGACATACTTCTTTCTGAAATACGATCAGTCTCTTTGAGTAACACATGCATGCTTAAAGAGCAAGTAACGTCTAAATTAACTTTTTTTTGCTGATAAACTGTATAAATGAGTGTCTAATAGTGTTTTAAATGTGTGCATTCTTTATTTTAGCATTTTGGTGCATTTTCTTTAAAAATTAAAAATTCTGTCTAAAAACCACAGTAATGCGCCACCTTCAGCTGAAAACATAGAATTTGAGTCATTTTGAATAAATTTTAGCCAATGGCTAAAGAGTAAAGTACTACGTAAACCAGTAGAGTACTACGTAGCAGCTCCGTGCCAAAGTTATAAAAGCAACGAGTGTCTCGGCCACGCCCTGTGGCGAGTGGGAGTTGGATTTGCAAGTGAGTGTAGGAGGTCAGCGGTAGTTCAGCATTAGCATATAGCATTAGCATATCCTAGTCTTAGCATATCTTTTAGTGTTATAAATACTTATTTAGTGTTAGATTTGGCTGTTTGATATTGTAGTTTAGTTAGTGTTTGGCTGTTAGTGTAATTGGGAAAGTATTTCGGGTTTAGTGCTCCATATCGTCTTAGTATTGGTGAGTAGGTGTAGTGTAGTATGCTTGCGGTGACTCTGTGGGCATTTTACCCGCGATTCTGCACGTCTCCGTTTGAAGAGGGAGGCTGCCCACCGTGGCTCTTCCGCGATTTAGATGCAGCCTACCGACTCTGCTCCCCCACCACGGCGGGCTCCAGTCTGAGGTGAGTAAGCTAAAAAACGTTTAACATCTTCTAAAGACAATTCCCTACTTAAATGCAAAGTTTGAGAGACGTGGTTCACTTCCTTTAGCTAGTCAGTCGGTAATTCTGCAACAGTGGCTCTAACTGACGCAGCACTTGACAGACAGCATTACAGCGTGAAATCCAGCTTGTGAACAGGTTCTGTGAGGAATTCTGTTCAGGAGGTCGCATTTCAGGCTCTCCACATCATGTGTGACTGACTTTTACGTTATAATGATCACACACTAGGAATGTTATAAAGCGCCTATATGGGACAGTTTCTTTTGTATATTATCTGACTTTATAAACTCTCAACAACAATGTGCTTATATATTTTTTTCAGGCTAAATCTACCCAAGACACTGGCTGTCAGACTGATTTAGCTGCAAGAATGCACTTGTCCAGGCTACCTTACCTGTAGCAAAGGTGAATTATTTTTAATAATCTTCTATGTAAACATTTTATTATTACCTTCTAGTTTTAATTTGTTTTACAGATTATTGTTACACGTGATTTTATGCTCTTTTAAACATTTATAAATGTGCTGCTTCTTTGTTTTTACATAGCCAGCCAGAATGGAGTTCACAGCCGCAGTGTGTCTGGTGACCCACGGGGACCATGATGAAAATTCATCTTCCAGAAGGTCCCAGAGCAGCGGCCACCCCCCCTGAAAAGACCAAGGTGTGAGGTGTCTGCTGTTGATTCCAGCTTCCACCTCAGTGACGGTGCAAGCTCAGTGAACTGTTCAAGGTAAAAAAAATTAACACATTTCAGAATTTTTAAGATATTAACAATTAAATAAGTATGTGATTACATCATGACGGAGGCTACTGATTCTGCCCCCGTGACACTTGGTGGTGACGTGTGAGCTGATTCACCTGGAAAACAACTTTTACATTAAATATTTTGTTTTTGCTATCAAAAGTAAATTAACTAATAACCTGCATTATTGCAGGACACTCAGCAAAATATGGACTCTACACCATGAGGCAGGCACACGTTAATAACTCTATAAGAGCACATAAGGTGAGCAACACCACATATTGTACACTGTCCTGAATTTGTTTTCTTTCTGCATCTCATTAGCCTGGCTGATCACTTGATAACTCCTGTCATCTGGTTATGACAGCATGAGGATGTCCTCACACACCTGTAACCTATCAGCTCATCTGGCAGAATAGAGAGAGAAGAGACAACACCACATCTCCTGTTCCTGGAAAGCCTTCAGCCATCCTTCGATGACTGAGAACCTCCATCAGCTCTGTCTCCTGTCTGCCTACAATTATTATAATAAATATTGTGTTTGACAAGTTTTTTTGTGCTGCCAAATATTTCATATAGATTCCAGTTTTGATATTTTAATGGATATTTATAAATTACATTAATTGAATTATCACAATGCATGTTTAACTAGCTCTATTGTGATGAATTAAACTAGCACCTCACTGTTAAAAGCTCGTTTTAATTTCAAGCATGTTTAAGTATTTATGAACATGAACAAAAACAGGAAATATATAAATTGAGATTTATTTAATTAATATAACAAATAAGGAGGAAAGAGTCATTGAAAGGCACATTCTTCTGGAAGCTCCTGATCCTGATGGCACCAGCAGAGGAGACCACCTGCAGACACCAGAGACCAGCTGCAGACACCAGAGGACCTAGAACCAAGAGAGCAGCTGTTATCAGTAAATAAATAAATCAGGGCAGTTTTAGTGAGCTGAACACATTACAGAATAATTTTCTCATGGGGTATTTTCATAACCTTATGCAGCAGACTGTAACTTGAGCCCAGAGCTACCGGAGAGCTGCTATCCAGCACGTTTCAGTGGATTTTCCTGCTTTAACAGGTTAGATTAGCTGTTAAGCAGCTCAGCTATTTGTTGCTGATTAAAACCAGGTGTGCTGAAGCAGATAAACCTCTAAAACATGCTGAATACTAGCTCTCCAGGGCCGTGGAGACAAACCCTGCAGCTAATCCAATGCTATGGCTAACGGCTACTTACGTTCAGAGGTGGTTCTGTTGGGTCGGTTCTGGGAGTTACAGGCAACTCACAAGCTCACAACAATAAGGCTCAGGTCCGCTTGTCTCCTCCAAATAGACTTGGTCCCTTTCTTCTCGAGTGTCTGGGTAAGGAGGGGGAGAAACATCCTCCACTTCTAATAACTGCATAGAGTGAAGGGAGGGAGCTAGCATCGTCTAGTTAGCCGTCGTCTTCGTCACTGCCGCGGCTCCGCCCTCTCGGTCCTCCAGGCAACGCCTACTAATGTTGCATTTTTTGAAATTGATACGTGGGTAGAGAAGGTCTCCGAGGCTCAATTGACCCGCTCTTTAATGTGAACATGCTTTTTCCTGCTTTAGCTGCAGAAAGGAAATAGACGTCCAAAAACCTGTTTCTACTACATCACAGAGAATATTGGCCTTCATGGAGTCACTAGTAGAAGCTAGTAGAAGCTAACCGTTAGCATTAGCATCTCCACAACATGGCGCAAGACGTTGGGGCTTGATTTATTTGTGGATACAACATCAATGATGGTTTTTTTTATCCAAGAAAGTAGATTGAACAAAAGCAGCGTAAGAGTTGGGTTGCTGTTAGATGTTTGCACTTTGTGAATTTTAATGAGTGGTACTCATCCTGCTTTTTTCTGCCAACCCCCCATTGTGTAGACGAACAGCTAACCCTTGACATAGGAGTATGAGAGCTGTTTTACACTGAAACATATTCATAAGGCATTAATTTAAACTGGAGACCTACAGCAGATCAGTTGAAAAAATTAGCCTTTAACAAACTGTTCTGTCTATCTTGTTGCTGCTTGTGTGTGTGTTTCAGGAGGGGGCGGGGCTTGGCCATGAGGTATTTGTTTGGCTATGCGACAGAGAAAGTGATGCAGCGCGGAACTGTGGGTGTTTACCTGAAGCAGAGATGCATGTGGTCACTTTTACTCAGTGTCCAAGGTCTAGGTAAATATATACCGTATTGACCCGAATATAAGACAACAAGGTTTGTTTCATTGAAAATACTTTTAAAATGTGGGGTTGTCTTATGATCGGGGTCTAACCATTACATGGTCATGTTTTTGTTGGATATTCAGACATAGCTCTTCTTTGTCCTCCATTTGTTTCTCATTTTTCAAATCCTAAAAAAAACATTGTCTGAACATTTGCTAAAAATGAGCCAAAGTCTAAAAAGCATTAAAAAACCTACAGAAATGTCTGAAAACTATTGATCAAAACCACTTCAGTAGAACTATGGCTGGCTGCTTGCTCCAGACACTAAACGACCATGTTCCCTCATTAGCCTAATAAATATTGCAAAAGTCAGTCCCTGATAAAAGAAGCCGCTCCAATAGGCCAGAGCCGTTGTTCTTTGCCACTCTCCCTGTTTGTATTTCAAAGCCGGTCTTTGGACAAGGATCTGTAACACGATTATAGGAGTAGGACAGCAATCCCTTTACGTTTTCCAGTTTGCGCTGTTCTTCCTCCTTAATGTCGCAGCTCAAAAACCAAATCGACAGCTACGAAGCAAACGCAACCTGAGAGATCCATTTTAGCTTCCACTACTCCGTACTGTGTGACCCAGACAGCGATTCAGAGAGAACAGGTCAAAACAGTGCTTTACAGATGAATCATCCTCTCTTCAGATCCATCAGACAGAAGCATGGCCACTTATGAACGCCTCCTCTAGGTGTGAGCAGTGTCTGAATTAGCGCCCGTAGTCGTTTTTCGCCTGGCAGGACCTTTTCCCATCTCCAAGAAATCCTTGTTGGTATTCTGACGGCGCAAGGGTGGGCTAATAATACTAATGGGATGTCGCTTGTGGGATAAACATCACAGGGCAGAGCAGAACATGCAGCATGTAGACCCCTAGGAAGATAACTATGATGTGTGTGTGTGTGCGTGTGTGTGTGCGTGTGTGTCTGGCAGTCATAATTAAGTTTGTAATGGCGTATGTGTGGGTGAGATAGCTAGCCTTGGTGAACCCCTGCTGTGCCCTTGCTGCTGCCCTTTAGCTTTGATGCGACCGAGCAAAAGAAAAAGGTAAACCTGATGAAGGAGAGAGACTAAAGCAGGAGTGAGAACGAGTGAGGTTTACCATCACGACTGTTTCAAAGCCGATCTGAGTGAGAAAACCGGTGAATTTGTAGTAAAGCTGCTGATTTAAGAACGTTAAACAAAAGAGAGTGAGCGAAAACTCCCACCTGGCAGGTGTTGAAAGGCTTGATGCTCCAGAGTAACCGTGGGACGTCCTGGATGGACACCTGCAGGCTGAAAGTGTTCCCCCTAAACAGCATAATTTTAGGTTCCTCGAGCAGCCGTCCGCCCCTGCTGCGCTCCCCCACAGCTACCTCCTGGATGACAAAGGAAAGACACATCGATGGCTTGTTTTCATGATGCAGGCGTTAGAGAATTAGAGGAAAAAGGTACACATTTCAGTTTCTCTTGTTGATTCAAACATTTACAGTAAACAAACAGTCCCCGCCAAACGTCTAACGGTTCACCCAAGGTGAGGAAGATCTCAGCTTCATCAGCTTCCTTGTGATGGTGAAGCTCTCCCTGGTTTAGAAACTGATGTCCGACCCAAAACGCGGGGCTGAAAATGTCACTCGTGCCTGCGATCTGACTATTTGCTGACATTTTCACAGCAAACACTTGTCTGGTGAAGAAAATGTTTGTTAGCTTAAGTGAGAATAAAGATGCGGCTGTTATTCTCGAGGATTTGAGCGGGCCCTTTCCTGAAGATCATATACCGGTTTTAGAAATAAAATCACGCTCTTCCACGGAACGAGGGGTTCTGAATGTTCCCTGGGTTATGAAACAGATATTATTTAATATTTAATGTACCAACCGTTCTATTTTCCGCACCGTCAACTTTCTAGTGACAAAAGAACATATTCAGAGTAAAAATGTTTAACAAACGCAATTTAAAACACCCAGTTTGCCTTGATGATCAATGAGGTTTTAAAAAAAATTTTTTTACAAGAACTTTTGACTAAATAAATTGTAAAAACTGTCAAACTGTAATTTGTTTATCACGTTTATTCTGTTATATGATGGCGTCAGGAGAGGTAACATTCCTGGAAAAACCCTCAGGAATCACGTGAAAACTTTAATATCCTCTGTTTAAAAACTTATTCAAGCATATAAGGATACTAGCTTCTTGCACTATTATACTGTCTTGTCTTATTATTTCAATTTGAAATGTAAAAATGTTTAATTTAGAAATGTTGTTAAATATATAAACATTTTTTACTTTTATGTTTATAAGGACCTTCTAATCCAAAATACCTGTGGGATTAAAAAGCACACCAAACTAAATCTTGGGATTCAGAAAAATAAACTTTTCAGGATTAAAGGCGTAATTGTACAAGGACATGGCTGGGATAATCTCTGCTGCTGTACATATTTACATCTGTGAGGCAAATTGGTTAAAATCTCCAGGATTAAAATATCAAATTTACTTGAATAAAAGGTAAAAGGAAAACATCTGAGATTTCAGTCAAGGTCAGTTTTAGTTAGATAACACATTTAAAACAGCTGCGGCTGACCAAAGTGCTTCACAGCATTAGAAACAGAAAATACCTCATCTGTCTCTAATTAAAAGCAAGCTCATAAAATGTGTCTTCAACAATTTTTTAAAATGACTCAAGAGTCTGAGCAATCCTAACATTTGCAGGAAGTCAGTTCCACAATCTGAGGCCTGCCACAGAAAAGGCCCAATCACCACAGCACTTCCACTTCGTTCTGGAGACCAACAGAAGATCCTGAGTACAAGGTTCTTGAAGGGGCATGGATTGCTAAAAGCTCTAAGGGGCAGAACCATGTAGAGACGTACACCCAAATTCCACTACCTCCGCTCCGCTCCGCTCCGGTCCGCCCCCGCCTTCCGCAGCCGCTCGCTTCCGAACTCAATTTTTACTGGTACCCGCTCTACAACGGCTCCGCTCCGGTGCGGAGACCTGAGGGGGGCAAACAAGCATGCGCGGGATTTTCGAGATCTTGCGATACAGTCCGAGCAATAAACGCGGAAGTTAGATCCAAACACCCGTTGTGCGGGAGAAGCATCGAAATGAGCTGTTCAATCTGCCCATCATGTGTGTTGAGAGATCAGCAGTGTTTGGATCAACAAAGTGTGACTACTTTGATAGTGGCAACTGTATTTATGGCTTATTTTTGTGCATTTAAACTTCAGCCGCCATTGATAGTTGTTAAAAGTTGTTAAACCTGTGCATATGAAACAAAAAACGCCTTTTGTTTAGCGATTTATTGTGAAAAACGGAAGATGTGCTTGCTCCTTTTCCTGTTGGGCCGTTGTGATTTCTGTCCATTTACTGCGGAGGTGCTCCGGCGTCCGGCAAAAATAGGATCGATTCTATTTTTGCCGGACGCCGGAACAGAGGGCGCCGCACGGCGCCGCACTGCCGGAGCACGGCCGCAGTAGTGGAATTGCTCTGATTGACTAGAACGGAACCGATTTTGCTCCGGCGTTCGTGTCGGAGCGGAGCGCAGCGGAGCGGAGGTAGTGGAATTTGGGGGTTACCCCCAAATTCCGGCGTCCGGCAAAAATAGAATCGATCCTATTTTTGCCGGACGCCGGAGCACCTCCGCAGTAAATGGACAGAAATCACAACGGCCCAACAGGAAAAGGAGCAAGCACATCTTCCGTTTTTCACAATAAATCGCTAAACAAAAGGCGTTTTTTGTTTCATATGCACAGGTTTAACAACTTTTAACAACTATCAATGGCGGCTGAAGTTTAAATGCACAAAAATAAGCCATAAATACAGTTGCCACTATCAAAGTAGTCACACTTTGTTGATCCAAACACTGCTGATCTCTCAACACAAATGATGGGCAGATTAAACAGCTCATTTCCGATGCTTCTCCCGCACAACGGGTGTTTGGATCTAACTTCCGCGTTTATTGCTCGGACTGTATCGCAAGATCTCGAAAATCCCGCGCATGCTTGTTTGCCCCCCTCAGGTCTCCGCACCGGAGCGGAGCCGTTGTAGAGCGGGTACCAGTAAAAATTGAGTTCGGAAGCGAGCGGCTGCGGAAGGCGGGGGCGGACCGGAGCGGAGCGGAGCGGAGGTAGTGGAATTTGGGGGTCAAAAACGTACAACAACAGTTTAAATAGGATCCTATGTGCTACAGGAAGCCAGTGCAGGGACTTCAGAACTGGAGTGATGTGCTCCCTATGTCCTAGTAATAGGCGTGTAGCTGTAATCCGAACCAGTTGTATGGATGACTGCTGAAGGCCACCGTACAAGGAGTTGCAGTAATCTAGTTTATAGGACATGAAGAGGTGGATCACCTGTTCAAACACATTTGGAGAGAGGTAGGGCTTCACCTTAGTGAGCTGTCTCAGATGGTAGAGACAGAACTGAAACCCTGCACTGACTTGCCTTGTTAATTTAAAAGAGCCACCAATAAACACCCCAAGGCTTTTAACATGAGTTTTACAGTAAGGTGCCCTTGGACCTAGGGCTGCTCAATTAATCGAATTTTAATCACGATTACGATCTGAGTTTTGAACGATTATAAAAAACAAAACAAGCCGATTATTTGCTCCTCCCGCTTGCGCTGCCCTGAGTTGCAAATGAAGCGCTCCTCCACAGTGTTGCCAACTTAGCGACTTTGACGCTATTTCTAGCAGCTTTTCAGACCCCCTTCTTGACTTTTTAATCCTAAAAGTACCTAGCGAACATCCCAGAAACATCTCTGGTAACCCTTAGCTACTTTCTGGATAACTGTCGTCGACATTTCCTGCAGGTTAGCTAAACACTCCGCCTGTGCTCCGGACCGTTCTTCACAACATTAGGAAAGGGAATGATGCAGTGATGTGTCGGTCGCTAAAGAAACAGCTCTCGGAGCCGGCTCCCTGTTGGATTAACCAGAGTGAGTGACACACACACCGCACCTGCGGTCTCCTGAGCAGCTAAAAACAGCTAAATCTGCGTGTGCAGCGTGCTAAACACACGTGCAGCTTGCCCGATTGCTGTGAGACCGGGGTGGGTGGGGGGGGTGGGGGTGGGGGGGGGGGTGGGGGTGGGGTGGGGGGGGTGTGTGTGTGTGTGCAGCTGTGGTTGGGACAATTATTACATTAACTGATGGGCCTGTAAATAAATAGTTTATAAATAAGGTAGAAATAAGTTCCTCACGCTGATAACTAATAACTAATCTCTCTGAGGAGACGGTGCTACAGCACCTTGACACGACTCAATAAATGTTATGCAACATTTTGTGAACATCAATTTATTTGCATTTATTTGTTATAAATGCCACTGTATAATTCTTGCTGTCAGTATTTGCAAGATATTGGTATTTGGGTCTGTACTGGTTAGACTTAAATGAGTTAAACCAAGGTCTATAGCCCTTGGGTCATAGACTATGAGCTATAAGTATATTGGTCTTTTTATCCTGGGAATCAGGAGTTATTTTAGTCATCATCTTGTTTCTTGTTTTTGTCCTGATTGTGCCCTGAGCAGTTTTATGACTGAATGAAAACAAATAAAATCAACATAAATTGAAAAATCGTCCTAAATAATCGTGATCTCAATTTCAGTCACCATAATCGTGATTATTATTTTTGCCATAATCGAGCAGCCCTACTTGGACCTGTGAGGTGAGCAACAGTCTCTGGAGATCTTGGGCAACCAAAAACCAAAATGTTGGTTTTACTCTCATTTAATTTGAAGAAATTTAGAGCCATCCACTGCTGAACATCATTCAAGCAGTTCATCAACACAGCAAGTGAGTCAGCTCCTACTTGTAATGGCAGAGACATTTGCAGATCATCTGCAAAGCAGTGAAAAGCAATATTATGATTTCTAAAAATGGATCCCAGAGGAAGCAATTAAAGGGCAAAGAGAGCTGGGCCAAGAATTTAACCCTGGGGGACACCACAGCTAATAGGTGAGTGGTCAGAGCTAAATGGGCCAACTCCCACATGATATGACTGGAACCATTGTAGGACCGTGCCCTTGAGACCAGCGTAGGTTTCTAGACAAGAAAGCAGAATGCCATGGTCAACAAAAAGCAGCTGTCGCATCAAACAACAAAAGAGCTGTGATATTTCCAGAGTCTGTAATTATAAACAAGTAATTAAAAACCTGTAAAAGTTGTGATTCGGTACTGTGGCAAGGCTTAAAACCTGACTGAAACTTCTCAGTTGTGCCAATTTTCGTAACATATTCTAGTAGTTGTGATTACACAGTCTTGTCTAACACCTTTGAAAGAAATGGTAGCTTTGAGATCGGACTATAGTTCGACAACACAGTTGGGTCCAGACTTGTTTTTTTTTTTTAAATAAAAGCTTGCATGTTTAAAATAATCTGGGACCCAACCAGTG